GGTTCGTGATATATATTTAGTTTAGTTTCCGGTCGAATACGTTTTTTCTATTATCACATAGAAAATTTAAATATTAGGGAATTTTGTAATCAAAGTTCTTGACTAGTGGGTATTTCTTTGAGCAATTATTTCTTACGTTAACCGTGTTGGGATAGCTCACTGTATAGCGCGAAATATATTTGCAGGCATTTGCAGTGCCTATAGCTCATTCATTACTACTCTCGAACAGTAGGCATATATATTGGATAATTAATTCAAATAAATATCAAAGTGATTGTTCAGGAAACATTTGCGAGTCATATTTGGTCGATGGATTTGTTCTCGAATTTATTTGCACGATTTCAAGGTAGAAATTCAAAATGAATAAATCCAAAATTAGGTTTTTCATAAATTATTTACGTACTACATCATATTTGGGGGGAATTCTTCTGTACTATGGATTTCAAAAGTCATCTTGATGGACTTGTTTCTGTTCCAAAAGAACAGAGCGTTCAGTTAGTCGAGAATTTGTTTGATGAATATAAATAATCGGGAACATATATACGGTTTTCTGGCTTTTTGAAAATTTGGCAGTTTTCGCATGAAAGTGAAGTAAGATTGGGTTTATAGCTCTCTCATCTGCTGAATCGATTATTTCTATCATTTCACATCCCTATTAGTATCTTAAAAAACTGGGTAGCTAAGAGATGCTTTACGTTGCAGTCTGTAAACCCACCGTTCAAAGATAATGAATATCAAATCTACTAGCTCCCGATCACCAAGAGTTGTGAGTATTTGGAGTTTATATCAATAAGTACTGAACAGTTCCTTATACAATCCTCTCATAATTTTTTTCGAGGAGTAACTAAGTAAATTATCACGCGGCACGAAGGTACATACAATGCATGAGGTTGGACTAGGCCGATTTGTTCGTACCAAGTGCATAGTGAAAGAAATTAAAATGAGGCAATTGTATTGAACTGATGCATTGCAGTTATGGGGAAATTGACATCATATATTTGTACAAACATGAAGAAAATCCAGTATAGTAGTTATAATTTTCGAAACTGTTAATGGATATTTGACGAATACTTCTCCTAAGTAGATATTGAATAGCAAGATTCATGCCGGATTTCACAACATCAAGGTCTACGTCTTCAGGAATACTTAAAATCATTAAACCTCTTCAGACTAAAATTTATCATTGTTTAGAATTACACTTAAAATCGTGTCGATGAAGGGGAATGATAGTGATGGTTATGCACGAAAATAGATAGGGTAACATTGTAGAGGAGGGAAATGCAACTGTTATAGATATCTTTTACATTGATATTGTTCTAATAAAATGGCTTTAGATTTCCGTGCGATGTTGCCGGATCCGCTCTGTAATGCGGATTAGTAGTAGCTCTATATAGAATCACTCGATCTGCGCCACCATATGGGACAGGTGTGTACTGTGCACGGGATAATTTAATATACAATTGTGTGCTTCATTTTGACCTGGAATAGATTAGTGGGATCTGTATAGCTATAGGTGTGAAAATGTCTTCTTGGTTCATATGATAAAGTTTTAGGCATGACCCATCGTGTATGTTTAGTATCTGTAATAGTTTTATCTCATACAGAGAGACCTCCAAATCTTCATCTGAAGTCGTGATCCAAGTCTTCAACTTACAACCACTCTGTTTATCTTGTCACCATTGTTGAATGAAAGTTGTGCATTGATTGTCCTTATTCTTCTGTTGGTTACTGTGTAGAACTGCGAGAGGTGTGACGAACCGTGGTTGGGTTATTGCGGATAGGATAAAATCTCGCGTTACGCCCAGTTGATACTGGCCCCCGTAACAACATGGGGCAGCGAGCCCACTGCGGGTCACGATTCCATAGCAGGTTTCTCGCTTAGTATGGCAGATATTGGTCCGTGTTCTCTACCGCAAAGTGCCCATGGTAAAGTCTTGTGTTATACATCATTAGATTTGTCTCAATGACCTTTTCAAAACTATGACTAGCTTTTTGAATTACAAATTAAACTTCATATTGCATGATTTTTTTATTTGCCGCCTCAAGTCAGCAGGTTTAGTTTCTAGTTAGGCGTATTTATGACCCCTTATCGAGTTATTGATTCTTGCCATGCCAAAAGTTGATTTCAGTCAGCACCAATGAGCGAAAATTTGATGAGTTTTGATGGTGTTGGCTGAAATCACGATTAGGTACGAATTCCTTGCACATAATACCTGGATTATGGACTAAACTGGAACGAAGTTTTTTCTGACCAAGTAAATAGATTTTTTCTAGTCAAGGATACATTTTTTCATGTAACGGATGATTTTTTATGGCAAGGATATATTTTTCAAGTCAAGGATGCATATTTTTATGCCAAGGAAATATTTTTTTCACGTCAGTGATAGATTTTTTAAGCCAAGATAATATTTTATTCAAGATAAGGATATGATTTTTTTGAGTTGGTATTAAATGAATAAATGTAATATTTTTATTACATTTTTCTTATTTGAACTGTAAAGTGTTTTTTTATTATTTTATACCAAAAATGTACAATTGTGGTAAAGGGACCAGGGGTGGGCCCCTTTCCCCAAGCCCATGCGCACATTGCCCCAGGGGTGGGGCAATGGGCCAATTTTGGCACTTTTTACAAAATAGTGTTTTATTAAAAATTGAAATACTCTAAAGGCGTCTAATTCACATCATATATTCCTCATTAGCTGTACGTTTAAACGAAACAAAGAACTACCTCGTATCAATTAAAACTTTATCAAAAATTTAATATAAAAAAGTTGGAGCCCGCTGTTCCATGTTACCCTATACATTTGTGTTAATTAGGTATTGGCAACACGAGTCGTTGATAAATATTCATCAACAACTCCTTCAAATTTCAACAATTTGTCTCTCATATCTTTAACATTCATATTCATCTCTAGTATTTAGTCTGACTCAAAGATGAAAGCTTTAAAAAAAGTCATCAAACCATTCCAGTGTAACCAGACTGCGTTTCTAATGAAGTTAGCCCTAGGAAAATATTTATTTCTCACAAAGAACGAAACATTAAACCGAGACTGAAAATTTACTCGTCAATTTTGACATGACACTAGTAATGTGGTGCTTCTGTTAATTGCTAGCAGTTTTAGTAGTAGTAGTAGCAGCAGCAGTAGTACTGTTTATTAGTAATATGCCCTGTTCTGTTATCGAATCGCTCTCTGTTCAATGAATAGAATGTGAGCAAGCAATCCTGTTGGACGTGTTAGCCTATGAAAGATTTCCGAGCATCCTTATTTAATAGGAAATAAACTAAAATTTTAGTTCGCCAGGCATTATCTGGTCTTGGGGTAAAGCAAACAAGGAACAAGAAAAACGATGAAATTTCTATGAGCTTTCCGTATGATATGTCCATTGTATTATATTCTTTCCCAGCTCATCCTTATTTTCTTGCAGCGCGACATTAGCGAAAAATATTCAGGGTTCCATAGCTACACGATGAGAAGGGGGCCTTCCGACCCCAAATTAACGCTTTGCTTCCATAAATCAATCCGCATATATATCATCTACGCGTTATCTGATGGATCATGTCAGCAATTACTGAAAATATAGTAATTAATTTCGGAGGAAACGTTATTTTTGCTGGGTAACTTAACCAGTTATTTCGATGGGCGATGCGCCGTTGGCAAGCCCATCTATAATATGGCAGACGATCTTTTAGTTCATTCCTAATGAGCAATCCACTAATTGAGCTTAATTTACTATTTAATTTAGTATTTACTTGACCAATAAAAACCGTTTTCTAGGAGCAAATGTTTATGAGTGTTTGATGTATTTCTAACGAACTCTTCTAATATTCTTATAACAATTTTCGTACGTCACCACCTGCATCATTCTCATTCATCGGCATGTTTTTAAGTCAGATTCCGAACGGTGATAAATTTGAGCCTGAAGAAGTTTAATGAAGAAAAAGTATTCTTGTGTATATACCTGATAATCAATGTCGACTTGGGAGAAGCATTCGGTAAATATCCGTTGAAAGTGTTCTAAATCTATAACTACTATATATACGGGATTTTTTCCAAGCGTGTAGCTATAAGTAGTTGATGTCAATTTCCCCATATCTGGAGTGCAACAGATCAATTCGGCTACGACTTGATAAGATTCGAACTACTGTTTACATTTCACCCATACATTTTGCTGACATCGTTGTGAGTATTGCTTCATTTCAATGTCTCTCACAGTTCACTTCGGTCGAATGAATCGGTTCAGTCCAACCTTTTTTATTGCAAGTGCATTGGTGCAAGGTGAAAACTTATTTACTTACTCATCGAAAAAAGTGATGGAAAAAATTTATTAAGAAGTGCTCAGTATTGTTGGTTATAAGATTTGATCACTCGTATTATCTAGGATCATCGTCAAATTGCAGTCTCTTGTATTTTTGAACGCTGACGAATAGATTGCAATTGTTTGCATCTCCCAGCAGCGTATCTCTGAAAAACGGCTTAGATAAGAAATTCTAATTGTGTAAAATATCATTTCAGCAGGAAAAGGAGTTGAAGAATGAATAATTTTTAAAATTCATGCAAAATATGCCAAAAGTTCCATAAAGCCTGAAAACCGTATGTATGTTTCCGATTATTTATTTGCATCAAATTAAATTATCGACTAACTAACTAAACTCTCCGTTCTTTTGAAACAGAAATAAGTCCCATTAGACGACCTAACAATTTTGAAATACATAATACTGAAGAATTCCCTTCAGTATGCTGTAATATTCTGATAATTTTAAGAAAAATTTATTTTTCATTCATTTGTAGTGAAGCTATGCCTGGAAATCGTGTAAATGAATTCGAAATCTAGTCCATCGTTCACATATGGCCTGCCCCTAACAAAATCTAGAGCCGAGGGCGGCTCTGGATTAGGGAACGCTTAGGACTCGGGGAGCTTAGTCCACCAGCGTCTCTATGTCCGCTTTTTGGTCTTGTGAGGTTTTCACACAATCGACAGGTAGTTAATTAAAGAAATAATGAAGGAAGCTTTCATTTTAATTCATCAAACAGAATCTTGAGTTTCAGTTCGAATGGTTTAGCTTCATAGTAATGGCGAAAATATTTAGTCGAAGAGCGCCGAATCCAAAAGTTCAGAATACGGTATAAGAGAAGTTGAAGGTTGATGGTTGACAGAACACGTGACGTAGATATAACGTAAGGCCGGCCAGTTTCAGGATCGGGTTAATGTATACTGTAGAGGCAATTATAACTGAAGAAATGTTAATCTTTTGAATCTAGATTGGAATCGAGATTTGAACACAGATTTTGTTACTGGCTGCACGTATAATTTGATGCAATCAATAACTGCTGCTGATGAGGACTCTCTAAGATCCGCGGCAGAACCCCTGAGATAATTCGGTTTATAATATATAAAAAAACAAACTCTAGCCTAATGCAAATTAACGGTGAGGAATTAGGAATTTCTCACACACTCCCGGGCGACAAATAACTAAGATGCATGAGCGCCCCGTAGACGAGCGCGGCAAAGCTCGGCCGCCGCTCTTCTAGGTATATCAGGGCAGGAATCTGACGATGCTGTGTGTGGAATAGATGAATTAGGTTCAGGAGCTCGGTATGAAGGTACCAAAGTGAGACTTATTTCTAACGGATACAACAAAGAAATGGCGTACTCCCCATCTACTACCACCGCCATGCAATCCACTACCACCGCCATGCAATCCACTACCACCGCCATGCAATCCACTACCACCGCCATGCAATCCACTACCACCGCCATGCAATCCACCACCGCCGCCAAGCAATCCACCACCGCGGCGGAGCGGTCGGGCCTTATAACCTCCACGGAGCGAGTTTTGCCGTCGTGACCTGAAAATAATTTGGTTACTCTGGCCAAGGACCACATGGGCCTTGGTTTGACAGGAGAGGATACAAGTACAATATCGCCGATTTTAATTCTATTTTCCCATGAAGGTTCATAACTGTTTCCAGTAGCTTCGCGCACTGAAAGTAAGTATTCGTCGTACCAAATTTCCTTAAATTTCTGCATAATCTCTTTTCGTTTTTCCAGTGAAAGTGTAATTGATTTCAAAGTTGGCTTTACTATCTCGCTACCAGAATGTTGCCCAAACATTAAATTTGTTGAATTGCTCGATTTCAGAAATGAGTTGGGAGAAATTACCGTATGAGAAGGATCAGCATTGTCATGAAAGTTAGTGGTCTAGAATTTACAGCATCTTGAATATCTGAAATGAGTGTCAGAAATTGAAAATACTCTATTTTACTCTTACCAATGGATTTGTGCAAACAGTTTTTAACTACCTTGATGAGCCGCTCCCAGGCCGCACCGTACCATGCGCTGTAGAGAGGAATACGGACATGTTTAACATTGTTCCGGGCAAGAAACTCGGACACGTAGTCGTCTGAAAAAGAAGAATTTAGAAATTTTGCTGCTTGGCTGAAGGTTGGAGCGTTGTCGCTGTAAACCGTTCTGGGGAAGCCAAACCTGTTTGTGAACCTGATAAAAGAAGCTAGAAATGAGTTAGTAGACATGTCGGGAACCAATTCAAGATGGATGGCACGAATATTATAACAAGGTACATCTTGATGTAGGATTCTCCAAACTTGACAAAGAAATGTCCGATGAAATCTACTCCGACGTTATCGAAAGGCCGTAAAAGGTTAACCTTATCGCTGGGAAAATCCGAAGGTTTAGGGTATTTATATGCGTGCGAGTTGTATTTTTGACAAAGCACACACTTTTTGATGATGGTTTTAATTAGAGGACGCCCTTTAGGCAACCAGAATCCCTGGTTTCTTAGAGCATTTAAAGTTGAGTTTACACCCAAATGTTTGCAATTTTGATGGTTCTTAATAATGAATAATCTGAAAAATGACCATTCCTTGAAATTAAAATTGGATGCATAACATCGTACGGCAAACTCTCGCATCTGCTGAGTCTACCTTTTGAGCGAATGATTCCAAAATCATCCGTGAACAAATTGAGATCTTTAACCAAGTAGGGAACAAATTTAGGATTGTTAATGCTGCGAAGAAATTTCAATTCTTCCGGAAAGTGGACCTTCTGTTCCCTGGCAATCCAATAGCATCTGGTCTTGTCAAGGCAGTCTAGTCTCCACAACTTCTGACGTTTGCACAATCCAGCTACGTAAAAAAGTCTTTCTGTCACACCCAAAAGTCGATCAATTGATGAAATGTCGCTCACCGCCAGGACCCATACTTTCAAAAAAAGTTGAGAGATCGTAAGTTCATCAGCCAATCATTGACGGCCTTTCAAGCCACTCTTTTAAAAACAGTTAAGAGATCGTAAGTTCATCAGCCAATCATTGACGGCCTTTCAAGCAAAATCCACCAATCATAGACAAAAAAATAGAGCGTAAATACTTACGTTCACTTAGCTAGTTTTGAAAGTATGGCCTCAGGACATCATCGTCTCTCTCTTCTGAAACCTTAACTGTGCACGTGACGAGCGTCTTGTTATCCTTAAACAAGCACTGCAGCCCGCTCGACGGCCAGTCAATCGGGGAACGCCTGATGAACTCTGGTCCTTAATTGTTTCCAGAATTAAAATTTGTTATCGAAATCTCTAACTGTGAGTCATCAGGTCAGCAAATCTGCAGGATTAGAATCAGAGTTGACAAATTTGAAAACACATTCCATATTATGTTCGGTGTTCAAGGTTTGCTGGAATTGGAGAATATCTTTAACCCTATTATTGGCAAAAAAATTTTTGGTCTTCACTGCTTTGTTTAAAATCCCAAAAAGAGCAATTTAAGAATTCGTAGCAAAATATACGCGAGAAATGCGCGTTCTGTCCAAGGCAACAATTATGTTCAGTAAGCATTTGAAGGCAAGAAATATTGTAAGTAATTCCAAAGTGGGGAGAGTTTTGTTCTTGAGAGGTGCCACTTTCGTTTTACTAAACAAGAAGTTGGAAGATTTATTATCATCCCTTCCATGGACAGTATAGAATAGAATAGAATAGAAGTGTCGGCACTGAAGAAATAGGCCCATAATAAATGAAACCCATAATTAGTCTTGGACGCATCTGTAAAAATAACCAGAGTTACGTCGTCGGCTGAGTCAAGAGCTTGGCAATCAAAGCAGTATTTTGAGACTTTGTTTAAATCCTGTATCAGCCGAGCCCAGGTCTTGTTTAGTTCCTCTGGTAATTCATCGTCCCATCCAAGCTTTGCCATCCAAATTTCCCTCATTAAATTCTTTCCCCTCACAGTGATGGGGTTCACTAGACCAAGCGGATCAAAACACTTCGCAAGACGCGACAGAACCTGACGTTTGGTGCAAACATCGCCAGGAATCTCTTCGTTTTCTCCATCGACAAACAAAACATCAGAATCCAGCGAATAGCGGTAGCCCAGAACCCTTTCTGTAGGTTCACCGTGATCGACGCCAACAACGTCCTCTGCGAAGGCAACATTAAACTCCTGATAATTCGACGACCACGAACGTAAATCAAAGCCTCCCTCAGTACTCGAGAATAAGCAGTGCGATGCAAGTCATTCAAAATGCAAGGATCATTGCCGGTCATGATCAAAATGCTGGTCATGAATAAATTGTCCACGTAAAGTTCATTGAGGAGAAAATGGTTGCAAAGGTCTGAAGGATAGTTGGGGGCATGATGATTTATAACATAATTCAGAACGTACCCGAAAACAATCGTGGTGTACCGATAAACAACCAAGCGACCTTCCTTCTCACACAAAATGCAGAACCTGTTACGATCTTCTTCGGTGACTAACTTTATCTGCAGGAAGGCTTTACGGATATCTGACAGTACTAAATATTTGTCATACCTCAAACCAATTAGAAGATTCAACATATTGGCCATCAAGTTCACTCCAGGGAAGGCGGCTTCGTTCAACGATGGCTCTTTACCCCCCTTCACACTGCAATGCAACACTGGCCTCACTTTCGTGGTGCAGCTTGGATCGTCTTTGACGACCTCACGATGAGGGATATAGATTCGGTGTTCTCCTTTATGAGACTGCAAAGACACCTCCTCCAAAATGCCGTCCTGCAATTGCTGCTCAAGAACATCCTCGTAACTTTCAAGAAGATTTTTAGCTTTCAATCTCGACAACACACGACTAAGGACCGCCCGAGCAACACAAAAATTGTTTGGAACTTGATCGATCTTTTCATTCCAGGGTAGTTTAACATGATATCGTCCATCTTTCAATTCAATGCCGTCAGTAAATGCATCTACTTTAGCCTGGACTGAGTCAATAACAGTACAGTCTTCTTCCAATCCAATCAATTCTAAGCTGAACAATTTGTCGATATTGCCTTCAACCTGACTTTCAGGAATCACGTCATTGATAGGATCTTGATACCGGGGAACAGGCGACAGAACAAAATTAACACAGGAATGGAAATCATTATTCACTCTGTTTAGGTCCTCGTGCATGCGTTCGGCTTGGTTCCTATCCAAAAAGTGCTCCACATTGCCAAAAGGAATTACAGAGTCTCCGTACATGAAAGCCGACCCTTTCAAGCAAGGCACGACACCAAATGAGTGGAAACACTGAATAACGTCTACACCCAAGATACCATCGAGCACAACGACATTAGAATTCGTCATCAAAGAAGTGTCAGCAAGCTTGAATGAATTCTGCACATTCTTTACAGCAAGACCGAGAGAATGAATCTCAAAAGACATCTCAAAGTTTTCATCAACAAGTATGGGCACTAGCAATGGCTTAGTTTTATCTAGCAAATCTAGCGTCAGAGCAACTTCAGAAAATTCACGTGTCCCCTTTTCTAGAAAAGTGTTCACAGTATACTTTGTGACTTTCCGGTCCTTCGGGAAATGCATCCTGTCAAGAACATTGCTAGATACGTAGGACCGTTGAGAACCCGTGTCTATATAGGAGGAATCGAGCATTAATAACCGCATTACCTTTGCTCACCGGCAGAGTTATGGTCGGCAAAAGATGAAAGGACTGCTTGTCTGCGGAAGAATTAAAGCATAGATTAGCTTGTAAAGGGTTTTCTTTAACACGAGTACAAATGGCAGAAATGTGAGTTTTCCGTTTGCAAAATTTGCACTCGTAATTGAGTTCAACATTACATGATTGTTTTTCGTGTTTAGTGCTTGAACATCTTTGACATAGTTTCAGCTCGGCACATCTATCCAGTCTGCTTTGATAGCTGGGGTAAACATTGCAGTGAAGCATATTATGACTTTGGCTGAAACAAAATTTGCAAGTCTTTCTCTCTGGCACGACAGTAGAGGGATTTGCAAAAACTTGCTTTTCGACAGGTTTCACAGGCAAAGGTTTGTCCGCATCCTTGCGACCATAGTCAGCCATGCTATCAAATGTCTTAGACATTAGATTCAGAGTGGCTATGACTTCAACACAATTATCAAATATGTTATTCAAAGAGGGATAGTTGTTGTTCAGCTTCCTGGCCAGCTCCTGTTTGAAAGGCATGGGTAATTTGGCGAAAATAACATTGCTAATCACAGTTGACGCAGCGCTCTCGCCCATAATATCACATCCATAGCTCTTAAGGTCTGACAAAATGCCACGAACATCCCCAATGAACACCTTAGTCTCGACATACGAATGATCATGATCAAACTTACATTTGAGAGAAACCAACTTGTTGCTCAACTCACTCCCGATCGCACGACGATGCATGAATTCACCGTTCAGAAGCTCCAAAGCCACATCGTAGTTAGCGTCATTCACATTCAAATGTCCAATAAGCTTAGACGCGTAACCCGTGAGATACCCCTTCAAATAGGTCAACTTAGCTGAACCGCTCAAATTCTTCCGGTGACCAATAGCGTTGTTAAATTGTGTAATGAAAGCATGGTACTTAAGGTAATCTACTTTTTCACATGAGAAAGAATCTAATTTCAACTGGGGCAACTTAATTTCACGACTAACTGGACTGACATTCTAGACACTAACTTTACGTTCGGCAGAAAGCTCTTTTAATTTCATCTCCACTTTCGCACTATAAGCCACCTGCTCGTCAATTTCAGCATCCGAAGACTCATCGGATGTCTTACCCTCCACAATCTTATCAGTTATTCGTTCATTCCAATGGCGCACAACATCCAAATCACGCTGCACCATGGAGCAATGAAGCTGGCACTCGGCAAAGTCACCGCGCTGAAAAGCATCCTCAGCATTCTTAAGGCCAATGGTTACTTTGCGTTTGAATACGCCACGCTTCTTAGACAAAGATACGTCCATGATTAAGCAAAATGGGGAATCAGACAATACAATAAATCAGGCAGCCGCAGAATACAAACCTGGAAACAAGATGGATGAAGCAATAAATTATTTTCAATCACCAGAGGATTCGGCACTCGAGAAAAATTAACTTTAATGAACTTAAACATCAGTATTAACTTGTGTGAGGTATTCACACAATCGAAAGGATGTCAAAGTAAAGAAATAATCAAGAAAGTTTTTTTTAATTTTAATTCATTCAACAAAGTTCTGAGTTTGATTTGACTAGAATTTCCTTCCTTGCAATATAGACAAAGTTTGATGGTAAAGAGCCGAATCCCAAAATTCAGAATGCGGTTCAAGAGAAGTTGAAGGTTGATGGTTGACAGAACGTGACGAATGCGTGACGTAGAAATAACGTAAGGCCGTCCAGTCTCAGGGTCAGATTAATGTACATATACTGTAGAAGAAATAAATTAAAACTATATAAACAAAATTACGAAATAGCAAATTATAGCCAAAATAAATGATAAAAATGTCAATTAATTTGTAAAGAAAAACCACAACAAACCTGAGGTTTAAATGCCCAGTGTGGTGATCACTTTTTGAAGGAAGAATACTTGTAGGAAAATAGCGGAAATCAGTTTAAGGGGTGGGAAGTTGGACGAGAAAAATAGCTAGCACAGTTTTGATGCTTTAGAAATTTGAGATAAAGACTTAAGACTAAGGAGAAAGCATGGTACTTGAGGTAATCTACCTTTTCACCGGAGAAAGAATCTAATTTTAACTGAGGCAACTTAATTTCACGACTAACTGGACTGACATTCTCTGCATTAACTTTACGTTCGACAGAAAGCTCTTTCAACTTCATCTCGACTTTAGCACTATAAGCCACTTGCTCGTCAATTTCAGCATTCAAGGACTCATCGGATGTCTTACCCTCTACAATCTGATCAGTTATTCGTTCATCCCACTGGCGCACAACATCCAAATCACGCTGCACCATGGAACAATGAAGCTGGCACTCAGCAAAGTCACCGCGCTGAAAAGCATCCTCAGCATTCTTGAGGCCAATGGTTACTTTGCGTTTGAATACGCCACGCTTCTTAGACAAAGATACATCCATGATTAAGCGAAATGGGGAATCAGACAATACAATTAATCAGGCAGCCGCAGACTCCAAACCTGGAAACAAGATGGATTAAGCAAGAAATTAGTTTTAATCACCAGAGGATTCGGCACTTGAGGAAAATGAACTTTAATGAATGAGAAATATTAAACCTCAGTATTAACTTGTGTGAGGTATTCACACAATCGACAGGGAGTTAATTAAAGAAATAATCTTGGAAGCTTGTATTTTAATTTATCAAACAAAATCTTGAGTTTAGTTCGAATGATTGGTCTTCATAATAATGGCGAAAATATTCAGTCAATGAGCACCGAATCCAAAAGTGCAATCTTCAGTACATGGGAACGTAAAGGTGAAGATGGCTGCATGGTTGGTCACTCGATGAAAGAAAGTGGTGACGAATGCGTGACGTACAAAAAAATTAAGGCCAGCCAGTCTCGGGATCGGATTAAGGTATACTGTAAAGAAATGAATTCAAATTATAAATCTTGCGAAAATTACGAGGTAGCAAATTATAGCCAAAATAAATCATAAAAAAATGTGAATTAATTTGTACAGAAAAAAAAACACAACAAACCTGAGGTTTAAATGCCCAGTGTGGTGATCACTTTTTGAATGAAGAATAATTGCAGGAAAATAGCGGAAATCAGTTTAAGGGGTGGGAAGTTGGACGGGAAAAAATAGCAAGAACAGTTGAAGGTTTTGATGCTTGAGAAATTTGAGATAAAGACTTAAGACTAAGATTTAAACAGAGATCTTTGCAAGTGACGTCAAGAAACGCCCTTCTTGAGCAAAAAACTACTGAAAATTTGAATAGCTTGATTTGATTTATAATAAATCCTGAATAAATTTACAAAATTAAGTTTGATTTAGAATTAATTTGAATTGTAGCACTTAAACTAAGTCCAACTTCCCAAAAACGAAATTCACACGACATTCATACAAACCAAGGGATAGAGAAACAGAGATCATAGCAAGATGGTAGAAATACTTGAACTTCGGTTGAAGTTACTTGTTCACCGGTTCAAAAACGGCGGTTAAGGTTTTGAATTATGAATAATCAATTTGAACAGACTTTGAACACTGTTTGATGGCGGTATAACTTTGGACTGGCACTGTCGGCAAATATCATTTGATGCAATTGATAACTAATGATGATGAAGACTCCTTAGACCCGCGGCCAAACCCCTGATCTCGACTAAATACTTTTTCTTCAGATGAAGTTAGAGAAACGGAATTCTAAGCAATTCCAAGCCAAAAATAGATCCCGTAACTAAACCCTAGCATATACACAAATTGACGGTGGGAAATGAGGAATTTCTCACATATATTCATTGAAAATGTTTCGTAGTCCAGCTCCATTGTAAGTCCGAAAACTCTAAAACACAGATAAATCAGTAAATGAAGAGTCAAGATTACAAAAAAGCCTTAAAGGTCAAACCTATCTAATTACAACTTCAAGTGGGCAAGAGCTAGAAGCTGAATTTAAACTAGGCTTCTGCTTAAAAATTTACGATGATTCTAAAATGCGCAAATCGAAAATATCGGAAGTGGAAGCTTAAGCCTTGAAGCCACTATCAGAAATTTGAACATCGCACTACTCAGCGTGAGTGCGCACAGCCGAATTAGAGGGGCGCAATATATAGTGACCAGTTCTACAACTCCTCCCTCTATGTTCTGCGACCCTAGAATAAATGTTTTGCGACCTTGTATTTTATATGGTTTGCCCAAAATTCACAAGTCTGATTTCGCCTCTAAGTTTATATTTCGGACAATTTTGGTCGCGTACAATACGCCTAGTTATAAACTTGCAAAGTTTTTGGTACCTGTTTTAAACTGTCTCACGACCAACAAGTATACTGTTGACAATTCTTATACGTTTGTGGACCACTTAAAGGATTTTATCGACGTTCAGAACCTAACTATGGCCTTTTTTTGATGTGGAAAATTTGATTACTAATGTGCCTCTTCATGAAACCATTGAAATCTGCCTGATTTCTCGGTTTCAGGATGTAAATGACCTCGTTATAGGTTTGAAACGTAATTGTCCAACGAAAATATGCGTCTTTCGCTAGGCCCAAGCTTTGCGAATATTTTTATGCTTTTCACGAGGTTTCTGGGCTGTCCAATTGCCTTTTGATTTTAAGCCAATATTATACAACAGATACGTTGATGACATTTTATTTTTATTTTTAAGCATACCTCTCACGTCAAACTTTTCTTCGATTACCTAAATTTGCAACATTAATCCATTAAATTCAGCATGGAGCTTGAATCTAACAATAGTCTGTCCTTCCTCCATTGCAATATTACTAAATCTAATGGCCACATTAAAACTTCTGTGTTCCGAAAATCGACTTGAACAAGTCTCAGTACCAGATTTTTAGCACATTTTCTCATTTATGGAAAAAGAAGGCGCTATTGTGCCCGTCATGTCCGTCCGTGCATTCACAACCACTATATGTGTGGGGCACTATAGAGGCTGTACTAATCGCAATGAAAACTGATTTATGCACGAGAAAATGCGCTCTCTGTCACTCACTGCAGTGAGTATACTGATCTAATTTTCTAGCTTTGCTCGTTTCTATTTAAGATTAATGGTCTCCAAACACTTATAAATCGGGGCTTTCGTATTTATTGTACTTACCATGCTCTGCACGCTGAATTCGAATTTTCACGCAATATCTTCTCGCTTAATGGATTTCCGACTAATCTGGTATTTACCCAAATAAAGAAATTCATGTCCAAGCGGTACAATGAGGTTGCGGCATAATTCATACATTGGTTCACTGGAAGCGTTACAATTCAAGTCCCTAGCGCGACAGTAGGAATGTTGTTATTGCTTTCTTCCATACTTCAACCCTGCATCCGAAGCTATGTCAAGAGAAATATAAATTTTTGTTCTCGAAGTACTTCCTAAATGTTGATCTTCGTGTTTTATTGATGAACAATTTTTAATCGGTTCTTTTTTAGGTACAATGATATCCTCCTTATCATATGCGAGCGTCCCTGGTTTATAATTACAGTTGCGCACGATGTGCATCTGCGTACGTCTGGACGTCTGACGTATCGCAATCTTTATTCAAGGGTAGAAGAACATATAGAAGGAGGAGTACTGGAACGGTCACTTACTATCGCGCCCCCTCATTCGGCTGTGCGTACTTATACGCCGAGCAGTGCGATGTTCAAATTTCTGATAATGACTTCAAGGGTTTAGCTCTCACTGCCGGTGTTTCCGATCTGCGAATTTAGAATCATTTTATATTTTAAAAAATTGTAAATAGATAGGTTTTACCGGTTAAATTTTTGTAAAATTGCATTTACTATATTACTGATTTATCTGTGCTCTAGAATTTTCGAACTGACGATGGAGCTAGACTCCGAAGCGTTTTCTATCAGGATTGTATGAATTTTTGTGGATTTTTTTTGCTTTTAAGTTTTTGAATTTGCAATTCAAATAAATGAGTGATATTATTAGTAATATCCCATTCCATACTTCACGACAACGTCCGCACGGCCTTGCTCACATCACAGTTAACACTCAACAATGACCCATCACAATAGGAACAATATACAGCACACCCTCCGATCACATTCCCATTATAGTCACCATAACAGCAAGCCCCATACGAATATCCAATTGTCCACGTATATAGTTTCTTCCATAGTGCAAACTGCACCTTATACAAACAAACCCTTTTTTCAGCACGCAGACTCGCATAATCCAACTACAACAATAGCAGAAATAGACGAAAACTAGGAAAATTAGACAAAATACCGACAGAATGTCACTGAAACTTCAACCCTTAACCATAACACATCGCAACAGACAACTCATCACCCAACGCCACCAGCTACACACACACTGCACACAGACACCTCAGAGCACAAAGATGGCAAGACCTCATCAACAATTCAGAAATACAAACAGATCCTCAAAAATTATGGTCTTTCTTAAACGCATGCTAGGTTCCAACACAAAACAGGCCGTTACATGCCTACAACACAACAGGACGCACCAGAACAAAAAAAAACATTTTCCGCAAGCAATTTTTTACACAGAACGATATCAACAACAAGGACTTTGACATCGAACTCATCGACACCATACAAGACCACGTAAACAACAATACACACTTCATTCATCCATTCAGTCACGGCAACCTTACCCAACTTCACCCTGTGAACTTCCCACCTGTTACCATTAAAAACTTCAGCGAACTCTACAAACATTAAAGGAAGCACCGAACCCCACTGAGATCACAACCCTTCAACTCAAACATCTCCCCAAAAACATGATGCACTGCGTGCTGTATATATGCATTATACAACCGTTCAGAGCTGCCGGCTATTTTCCAGACTCGCTCAAACACCCCATATTGATTTTCCTCGCTAACCCTAACACCTCAAAACATCAAGTTCAAAACTACAGACCAATCTCACCATTAGATATACTTGGGAAGCTCGGAGATAAAATGCTAAACAACCGACTATACAATTACCTCACCATCCACAACACTGGACAACACGGATTTAGGAAACACCGAGGGATCCACACATGACTAGCCACATTCCGCGAAACGCTCGCAATACACCTTACACAGAGACACACTACAGATATAGTGCTCCTGGATGTGAGCATGGCCTTCGATAAGATCTGGCACACCAGACTCCAATAAAAATTAATTCAACTCAATCTCCATCCCTCATTCATAAAAAAAAACTAGCAGGATACTTCATCAACAGAACAGCATCTATCATCAGAGGTTATCACATATAGTTCCTCCTCTACAACTACACTCACGTGTCCCCTAATTAAGAGGCTTGTCTTTCACCCATCACGTGCTGCTTTTACACCCACGACATTCCACCGGTACTCCTAAACACGAAGTATATAGCATTTGCAGACGACATTACACAGATAACAGGCGGGTGATACCTACACAAATATGCATCGAAAACGGCACAAAACGCCATCCAACAGATAAATACACTCGAAAATAAATGGCTCACCAAGAAAAACAGAACCAAATTTAAAATCAACCCTGTCACCAGGCGCAAAATATCTGGCATTCATTGCCAACACGCACTGCCCATGCACAGTGAAAGGAAGTGTCTGAAGATTACACTTCACATCACACGGTTTTAGGTCCAAAATAAGAGCCAGGAGAGCAATAGCCCTTACAAATATACACAAAATATTCTACCACCTTTCACTGAACATAACACGTACCTTATATCTCACCTTCGTTAGATCGTCTCTCGTTTACCCTCCAATGACTCTACGCATGCACCTCATTCAAAACAGCAATATCCCAACTGCATAGAGTACAAAACAAAGCCCTCAAATTCATCACAGTGGTGTCTGAAGCTGTTTTACACTTTTACACAGACACTTTTAAATCATGCAACTCAATTTCCATCTGTCCTTTCCACCCCTTTAATATATTAATTTTGAATTAGCTATAACTAAAAATAACAATAAGAGACCAGTCTCAGTGAACAATTTCAATGATTAACAGGTACTCCCTATCTGTGGGTCAACGCGCAACTTGGAGAAGGGGGCTACTACATCTGGCTTCCCAACGGCCAGAATAATACTATTCCTAGTGGAGGCGATCCCCTAGATAAATGTGCTGCATATGTCGCCTTTTTAAACTTTCTTGGGGGGTTTGATTGCAAGGATATGAACACTTGTTATGCAGCCCTTTGCATCGGCCCCAACATATCCCTGAAGCAGTGTTGAGAAGCACTGAGGCGGTTACTGCAACACACACATTTTCTCGATTTTTCTTGAAATTTAAGCCTTGCTTCAAGAGTGAAATATTTCAAGGGCCTTCTTACGGTTCCCGTTTGTCAACAATTCTTAGTTACCTATAGCCTATTCAGATTTAATCATCAGGAGGAAATATTTCTCCATGCTGAGATATTCTGCATTATTCTGTCTCGTCAATGAGTTGACGGGATTTATTTTTTGCTGAGCCAATATGGATACGTTCTTAAACTAAAAACTGGCGAGGAGCTAGCAGACAGTTCAGTTTTCTGGCTGCCAGTATGTATACGTTCTGACACTAAGAACTAGCGAGGAGCTAGCAGACACTACAGTTTTCTGGCTGCCAGTATGTATTCATTCTGACACAAAGAACTATCGAGGAGCTAGCAGACACTGCAGTTTTCTGGCTGCCAGTATGTATTCGTTCTGACACTAAGAACTAGCGAGGAGCAAGCAGACACTACAGTTTTCTGGCTGCCAGTATGTATTCGTTCTGACACTAAGAACTAGCAAGACGAGTATATGTTCAGACGAGTGTGTTCAGACGTGTGGGTTCCGACCAGTGTGTTCAGACGAGTGTGTTCCGACCAGTGTGTTCAGACGAGTGAGTTCCGACGAGTGTTCCACTTAGTGTTCCAACACCCGGCATCACGCGCTCTACTAACGGCAGATTTCAACGCTGTTAAAGAACCATCGCTGTTGAGTTTTGCTGTTGAAATAGAGCTAGTATTTCACGTCTTCCTCACCTGCCTTCTTAAAGTTTTCGTGTGTTGTACCAATAAACATCATCGCCGCATTGATGTGTTTCTGTTCTTCCCATTACAAGTTGTACAGTAATACGGACAGAATGTTGGCCGCAGACTTAGGGAAGTACAACAGCACAGAAGAAGTAAAACTCAAATCTAGGTGCTTCAATAGAAGAAAATAAATACGTAGTAATAAATTCACGTAGTTGTGTATTAATACGTTTCATTGATTATTGTGCTTCAATAGAATTTGTCGTTTGAAGTGAACAGACGAATAAAATTCTTATGCAATAATTCCCATTCCAAGAAGAGGATAGGTGTTAATCTCTGCATGCTTGCTGATATCAGAGCGTTTATGTCGGTCTCTGAAATTATATCAACTGTATTTCTAGCTTTGCATTAAAATGACTTTCATGTTACGAGTATTCTAGTTATCTGCAACCTTTTTTGAGGAACACTTCCGAATAAAACCAAATTTGTTTCAAAAATTCGATGGGAATTTATTTCAAATTATTTAGAATTTGGTCGAAAAGACGTAACTCAAAATTTAATTCGGACACTGAATGAATGTATTAAAAATTAAAAACAAAGATTAATCCATATAAATTCATATCTTTATAGAAAACGTTTCGAGTCCAGCTCAATCGTCAGTTCGTAGAATTTAGAATTCATATTGAAAGTGACAAATTAATATAATTGAAAGCACAGAACGCAATTATTAACATAAATTTAAAAATAATAAATAATAATAATGGAGTAATTTGGTTTCGAACCGCAAATGCATAAGCGCAGTAGCTAATTTATAGTTAAGGCAAGGGCCAGGATACATGCATTGGTTATGACTCAAACTCGGTGGTCCGTTATTACGGCCACCGCAGAGGTTCTACAAAAAAGACGACGCGGACTTTAGTAGTGAGACGATCAAGTTTAAAAACAGGTACGTATATGCGCAAGAAAACTAAATTTACCGGCCGCTCTGGGATCAAAGTCGTTCACTTTCTCTATTGTTTTTCGTGTCTCAAGATCGGCAAAGTATTTATCAATCATCTGAACGCGGTCAGTGGTTCTCAATTTCATCAAATTAGTTGTCAAGATTTGTTTGGCTAGACGGTAATTTTTACCAAGCAACGGCTCTACTTCTGAACGCCAAGCCAAAAGCATGATAATTCGGCAGTGTCTTCTCTGGAGGCATTATCAAGAACAAATTGAACGACTTCATCGTTGACAGCTTTGGAATCTTCATTATAATGACCCTCATTATATGTGAGGTTAATCTTTGAATTGTTCTTGCAAAATTCTTTCAGTTTCTTTTTACAATTCAGATTCTATCACCTGACTACGATCATCAATAACCACAAAGTTGTCATTAGAAGTACTAGGCTGAGTATTACTCATGGTGAGTAGATCTGCAGTGGGAATAGGCGGTGCTTCCGCACGCACGCAGACTCAATATGCTGAACGCCCTACTGGAATGTCTGTCAAGGTCGCCTGCCGAAGACCACCACTGCCCTGGATATAATGGACTATCATGATTCCTGCCTTCCGGAATGTAGCCTTCAACACTTCAAGCCGTCCTTATCTTGGTCGTGGGTCGAACCAGTCCTCGGTCGAACGGCCACTTGTCGAAGGACGATAAATTTTGGAACAGAACTATGCTATCTGAAACCTAACCTCAGATGCGGTGAACGTAAAATTACGTAATTTAACGATGCCTGGAAGTCATATTCGATCCGCGGCCGGGTGGTGCACGGCTGGTGGTGGTCAAGGCCGGAAGAGGACAAAGCCGAGTGGTGCACGGCTGATTGGTGTAGGTCCGGAGGGATCAAAGGCGTTCGATTCAGGGCTTATTGGTGCACAAAATTGGTGGTGCACGGCTGCGCTCCCATCTGTCAAATTGGTTAAATTATTGCGCAGCACGGCAACGTCGCCGAACAAAAGCACGCCCAGAGAAGTTTACGAATAAACGGACGGCCGCTCCAACCCGAACGAGATCTGCGTCTCGGGAAGAATCTCAGCATTTTGGTTACCTAGAATAAAGTTAATGTTCGACACACAGTCAGGTTCATGTAATAATTTGTCAGCTAATCGATAACCTTTGGTCTTGAAGCCCTTAGCAATCTGCCTGAGTCCAGGAATGCTCAACGAATTCTTATCTTCGGTACATATATAACTTGTCCTGATACTACCCTGCTTTCAAGCGCAAGAGGAACCTACACAACTCTAGCAACGTAGCGCTTTGATTCGTTGAATCCCTTCACTGTATTATGAAATTCACCGTCAATAACGTCCAATGTGAGGTCATCCGCCAGGGAATCCAAAGTAAAATTAGGTGGACATACGGAGTCTTTGAATGCTCCCACAATGTGACCCATAATGTTGCACGTAAAGCTAGGAAGTAGCTACCCAGATTTCCATTACCATTTAAGGCAGTTTCGCCCCACACAACCCCACTAGACCCCCTTTTATCACGATCGCGACACAAGAAGGGATTTATGCTTTCATCTGTGACGCTCATCGCCTCGCTTTTCATCAGTTTAAATTAATTTTAAGGGCTCAACATCACGGTATATTAAAAAATCGTAATTCATTAATTAAATATTCTGGCATTTTAGTTTGTCGATGCGGGCCCGCGTATAAGCTAAATTAACTCGCTTTCCATGTGTGTACAGATTGTATAGATGTACTTCGGACAATGCAGATATGGAGTATAAATCGTTCCTAAGAAATAATTTTACCGTCGCCATTTGATTTGTTATGATTTGAGTTGTATGTATATATGGTGGTATAAACTGAATGTTTTAAATATATAAAATAAATATATCTAAAATAAATCAAATATTTTAACTTCAATGAGGCCCATTATTATATGTCGTAATTCGAATAGAGCTTCTAACGGATGTTTATTATTTTAGTTGAGTGATGTACGAGTCTGATGAATGAATATAAACGTAATGCACATTATGATCCATTATTTCATTTATATACTGTATATGAGAGTAGGGAACTGAGCGGAGAGGGTGATGAAAATTGTTACGAAAAATGCATGTTATTGCTGTTGAAACCGAATAAAGTCATTTTATCTCGCGTCAAGAAATAAATAACGAAAATTGCTCGGATTAAACTTGGCCACAATATTTCTCTCATTAATTGTGATGCGATTTAAATCTCACGAGAAAATCGTGTAACAAACCCCGATTGTTTCTTAGCAGATGAAATTTTATAGTTAAATTTCAGCAGCAAACTCCGTAGACTTTTTCCTCTATTAAAAGAGAGGCTCTGACAAGGTAGCACCGTATGTAATTAATGCTTTTTATATCATCATGTAAATTTTGGTTACTCAACTTGCTTATGAAACGGTACTTACTGCAGCTGCAGTCTTGATGAATAGTCTTCAGTACTAACTACTGAATAATTTCTTAGGTGGAAGTAGGTAAGGCCTACGTGGAAGTAGGGAAGACCTACGTGGAAGTAGGTAAGACCTAGGTGGGAGTAGGTAAGACCTAGGTGGAAGTAGGTAAGACCTAGGTGGGAGTAGGTAAGACCTCGGTGGAAGTAGGTAAGACCTAGGTGGAAGTAGGTAAGACCTAGGTGGAAGTAGGTAAGACCTAGGTGGAGGTAGGTAAGACCTAGGTGGAAGAAGGTAAGACCTAGGAGGAAGTAGGTAAGACCTAGGTGGGAGTAGGTAAGACCTAGGTGGAGGTAGGTAAAACCTAGGTGGAAGAAGGTAAGACCTAGGTGGAAGTAGGTAGGTAATAAAATAGTACTCTCATTCCATCAATTTCCCATCACGAATTTCCTTATCGCGGCTAAGGTCGAAGATAACGCCTGTCATAGGTGAGAATTTATGCATAAACAATGCATATATGGGATGGAGGTAAATAGCAGGATTTAACTAAGCAATGAAATAGCTCAATATATTGTTAATATATTTACGATGAAAATTGTAACATAAATAAACGTTTTGTTCTTACTGTCAATGCCTTCGTCACGCAAAGAAAAAAGAACAATAATTTACTGTTCTAATTTGTAAGTCATTTTGTGAATACATGTATTCTGCGCTTGAGCTTTCATTCATTATTATTAGTTATTATAAACGTCTCTTTTATTTACATTGATCTTACATTATCATACAAGTGTACAAATAATGGAAACGACACGACTGGATAAGTTAATGTTATTGAGGAAATAACGTAACGAAATAGTTATTGATGAGTGAGCATGTCGACTTTACGTAAAGTCTGGCGTCAGCAACAGGGGCTGCGTTCGTTGAGTCTTTGATATGCATAAATTATTGCAGCATTAATAAGGACGGACGTCATCAAAACATTGGGCTCATTAATGTATTCGCTGAATGATGAAGTCATCACAATATCGGTTAATCATTAGCCAAGCTGAATGATGACATCACCCAAACTTTGTTTCCCCATTGGCTGAGAAGAGCAGTGACGTCATCAAAACATCGGTATCCTATTGGCTGAGCGGAGTAGTGACGTCATTCAAACATCAGTATCCTATTCGATGAGCGGAGCAATGACGTCATCCATACATCGGTATCCTATTGGCTGAGCGGAGCAGTGACGTCATCCAAACATCGGTATCCTATTGGCTGACCGGTACGTCATCCAAACATCGATTCCCAATTGGATGAGCAGAGCAGTGACGTCATCCGAACATCGTTCCCCCATTGGCTGAGAGGAGCAGTGACGCTAGGACAACATTGGCTCCCCATTGGCTGAGCGGAGCAGTGACGTCATCAAAACATCGGTACCCTATTGGCTGGCCGGTACGTCATCCAAACATCGGTGCCCCATTGGCTGAGCGGAGCAGTGACGCTAGGACAACATTGGCTCCTCATTGGTCAGGCTGAGCGGCGTCGTCATCCCGTTGCCGGTCCTCCACTGGATGGGGGAGGAGCCTCACAAATATGGCAATACGCCGCCTGCAAACAAACACGAAGTTAAGAATCCTCACAAATAATAAGAATCCTCACAAATGAAGTTAAGAATGTCTCACAAATATGGCAATACGCCGCTTGCAAACAAACATGAAGTTAATAATATAGACAGCTGCATTAATGGACAAAACGCGGATATAACGCAAAAATAGAGTGTCCATAGCACTGACCACGAGGGACGTGAAGATGTAGTCCAGCTCTCCGTCCAGCTGGTCGCTGTCCAGGAGGTCGGCCATGTACTGCAGGTGCGTGCCCAGCTGCTGCACGCGGGCACGCAGCACAACCTGCACCAGCGCCGGCAGGAGGGCGTCCTGCCCACCCGCTGCTGCACCAGCCGCCTGCAGCGCCTGCGCCAGGAGGGAGTGCGTCTTATGATTCGCCTGCATCACAACCCCAGCTCCCTCACTCCCTCACTCACTGCACCCCTCACCTCTATCCCTTATTCCCCCTCACCCCACTTCTCCCGTTCACCCTCCACTCTTTTACTCCCCCATTCACCACCCACTCCCTTACTACCACTCAGCCTCCACCCCCTTATTTTCCTTCAGCCTCACTCTTCACCCTCAATACTCCATTTATCCTCCACTCCCTCCCCCTCATCCACACTCCCCCATTCCCACCCACTACCTCACTACCCCCATTCACCCTCACTCACACATTAACCCTCCACTCCATGACAACCCCCTCACCCCCCTCCCCCGTACTCCCCCACTCACCCCCCTCTCCCTCACTCCCCCACTCACCCGGCGGGTGCAGCTGAAGCAGCGCTGCACGAGGGCCAGCTTCTCCCAGGGGAGGACGGTGGTGGGGAGCAGCTGGAATATCCCCACGGCCTCCCCCAGCTCCCCTGCCTCCCCCACACCTCTGCGTGGGGGGGATACGGGGTGTCAGGTTGACGGGATGAAAATAGGGATTTACTTTTCAATTTCTGGTTGAGCTTATTTATTTAATTATTGTCGTGCAGTAATGCCTACCCCCAAATGGGGGTTGGCTCCAGTGGGGGTGCGTGCCCCCCAACTCACCCCAGTGCCTCCCAACTCACCCCAGCCCCCGCAGCAGTTGCTGGTCCGTAAGGGCGTTCCAGACGCACAGGTTACGCCAGTATACGCGGTCTCTACTGGCGGGCGCCTGCGTACAGGCCACGTGTAGGGGGTGCTGCCGCCCCCCGTAACTGTACTGGACGGTAGAACTTCCTGTCTTGCCAGTAGAACCCTCGCTATACAGGGTAGAACTCCCGGTAGAGTTGCCAGTATAGAGGGTAGAGTTGCCAGTATACTGGGCGGCGAGGGCATAGGAGGGTAGAGGGTAGCAGTGCTGAGGTAGACCCTGGGTAGATGAGGCGCCGCACAGCAGGTAGAGGGTAGACAGGGACGGGTAGATCAGGGGCAGTAGATGCGGGTGGATAATATACGATGGAGTCACCACTCTGAGGAACACAAGTAGATTGAGTCTACCCGTCTACCCATTATAGCGCACTGCTGCATGATATATAGAGGTAGATTATATATTATACTGTCTTACTGCCAATATGGCAGTAGATCGGCAGGCACTGCGTAATGTATTCTATCGAAGTAGATCTGAAAGAATCATTTAACACATATTATATGAATTGCATTGAGAGGTATGATAAACTATGCAGCTATACGCAGCGAGTAATAATATAATATATGTAATATGATATTATAATTATATATTTATAATATAGTTAGATGTAATATAATAAAACATGATTTACTGTGATATATAAATAAACTATACTGTCAAAGGACGTCGCCGACTGGTTAAAAATAATTATTTGAATAAAGTTACGATTGCTGGTGTTTTATTGCACTTGGATTCCTTTAATGAAAACATCAGTTAATATGGATTTAACGTAATTTTATTTCAGTTTAAAAAAAGCACGTTTAAAATTTCAAAACAAGCCTAACAACAAATTCATGCTCAATAAACAGTTTAATAAATCACTGTACCAAGTTAAACACAAATGTTACTCAGGCGACCACGCGACATGTGTCTGTACATGAAATTATTTCTGCCATATTGGCAGAAATAATTAAATCGAAATCGAAACGTCGTTATTAAATTAAATTACTTCCTTGAACCAGAATTTTTATCAACCAACGTCCACTGAAGAATATTGTTCGATCCTGAAAATTAAATCGATGATTTCTCTGGTCATTAACCACTCGTCTTTAAACTAAATTATTTGTACAGCCAAATTAACGTAATTATGTAAGTGTACATTCACGTTATTCACGTTAATAAACGCACAAGAAATTAATTATGGTATTCTGTCATTAAATGACTGGTAAGAGTGAATGATCATCATCATTGACAATACATTATGTAAATTAACGTAATTATGTGGCTGTACATTTACACTGTATCTTATCCACGTTAATAAACGCGCATGAAATTATTAATAAATTCTGGTTTTAACTGACCTTTGTAACAGTGAACGATCATACATTCACAATTCATTTATTAATTTAATTAATAATTAAATATTAAATTAATTAATTAAAATTAATTAAATATTAAATATTTAGTTATTATTAATTATACATTCTTAACACAAACTACACAGTAGGTAGACTTGCATTTTGTGTGGGACCCCGCAGGAGGGGTCCAGGTGGAGGGGGGCGTCCTCGGGGGGCAGGGTGGGGAACAGGGCGCGTACCAGCTGGTACAGGCGGCGGGTGTACCATCTCACCTGTACATGGGGTACTTTAGTACTAATTCAGTACTTATTGCCACGTGAGAACCGCTGAACTATTCATATATAATATATATATAATAGAAAAATATTATACAATAAAAATAAGAATATATATATAAATATATATACATTTCCAATTCTCTTACTAGTTTTTTTCAGTAATTTCTTTCTGATATGTTGAACAAACTAATAAGAAAATTGTCAATAAAACAAATCCGTTGGTCTTCAATGAAACCTGCTTAAAGGAAGAAGTTCTGCCAACCTATACTAAATCTTATACCTATATATACTGTACATAAAATATATATTTTATATCTTTCGACCACTACGAGTGTCGAAATAAGTATTAACATTAAGCCGAGTATTGCTCAAATAAGTGCTCTATTAACCTTGACTCTGTACCTGATTATCCCGTTTATAAGTAGAATTGTTAACGAACTCAGACCATCCCACAACTATGTTATTACCAGTAACTATTGTTATCATATTATACGCGGGGTACGAATATTATATTATATTGCTATATTATATACGCAAGTTGGAATATTATACGCCTGCAGATGCGAGAGCTAAGACACTACACTCAGACAAATGAAGGGGTAATATTGTACAAATAGTGACACACTTTCTACCCCGACGCTCCAGCAGAGAGCGGCCGTATCCCTGATACGCACTTCTTGTAGGATGACCCACAACACAAGTCCAAAAAATACATCGCTATTTGTATAAATGCCCACTAATTTCTCTGGGTGAGAGAGTGACCCACCTCGGCGAGGGCGTGGGGGAGGAGGAGGGCGGGGGCAGCGCAGGGGGCGCCGTACGAGGCCCTGAACGCCCCCACCAGCGCCCCCCGCAGCTCCTGCAGGGGGTGGGGGGCCACACTGAACGCCTGGGGGGGAGTGGGGGGTCATATAGGAGCTGAAGATGGCATCTAGATTCGCCAGTAAGGACTACGGGGGGCTAGTATAAGGGCTAGGGTCGCCAGTAAGGACTACGGAGGGTTAGTATAAGGGCTAGGGTCGCCAGTAAGGACTACGGAGGGTTAGTATAAGGGCTAGGGTCGCCAGTAAGGACTACGGAGGGTTAGTATAAGGGCTAGGGTCGCCAGTAAGGACTACGGAGGGTTAGTATAAGGGCTNGGGGCGCCCCCCTCGGCTCCTGGTGGCGATGTGGCGTACCAGCCGCTGCCACACCTGTCGCATGTGGCGTTATGGTGTAGTGTATGCCATGACATGCGGCGGTGTGGTGTAGCGAGTGGCATCATCGTGTGGCATATGGCGACAAAGCATATCATGTAGCCACATGTCATAGCATGGAGCCACACGCCACACTCAGGCAAAATAATAGGTCAAATTGTTGTAATATTGATCTGCGAGGACAATATCTGCGCGTAGCACTGATACAATAATTTGTTGCGGACCAAACTGCGTCAGAAAGTCCCTCAAAAAAGCTACAAGTGCATTGATATTTGGACATCTTCTTACTAATTTCTACGAGTGGAGGCTCGAACCCGCGATTCACGGCTCCTATTTTATTATTGTCTTGCCTGGCTGGGGTCTGGGTTACCTGGCTGGGGTCTGGGTTACCTGGCTGAGGTCTGTGTTACCTGGCTGGGGTCTGTGTTACCTGGCTGGGGTCCGGGTTACCTGGCTGGGGTCTGAGTTACCTGGCTGAGGTCTGGGTTACCTGGCTAGGGTCTGGGTTACCTGGCTGGGGTCTGGGTTACCTGGCTGGGGTCCGGCTTACCTGGCTGAGGTCTGGGTTACCTGGCTGGGGTCCGGGTTACCTGGCTGGGGTCCGGGTTACCTGGCTGGGGTCCGGGTTACCTGGCTGGGGTCTGGGTTACCTGGCTGGGGTCTGGGTTACCTGGCTGGGGTCTGGGTTACCTGGCTGGGGTCCGGGCTGGGGTCCGGGCAGGTCTGGTCTATGCCCAGAATTGTGGCGTAGTTGGCGAAGAGCGCACGCCACTTGAGCTCCACGCCACCACAGTGGCTGCCCACCACACTGCGGGCGAGGGGGAAGGGTCATGCCACATGCCACATGCCAGCCACATCCTACGAGTACATCTCCTCGGTCTGTCTATTATGCATATTATATTTTTTATGTATGTAGTACATTATTAACAAAATAATTATTAATTTTGCATTTATTATAAATATTTTATTATATTATTGCATAGTTTGCATGAACATATCTTGTATTAGCAGACAACACACCACACAGCCACCAACACACCACACAGCCACCAACACACCACACAGCCACCAACACACCACACAGCCACCAACACACCACACAGCCACCAACACGCCACACAGCCACCAACACGCCACACAGCCACCAACACGCCACACAGCCACCAACGCGCCACACAGCCACCAACACGCCACACAGCCACCAACACGCCACACAGCCACCTGTGTACCGCAGGCCCCACGGCGCCCCCCCTGTGTAGGGCCCCACTGGAGATCCTGAGGCCCCCCCCCGAGGGGCAGCAGCGCCCCCCCGAAGGTCCCTTCAAGGGCGGCGCCCCCTGGCAGGTACAGCGCCCCCCGCCCCCCGCAGTGGGGGGCCAGGGGCGTGGAGGAGCCCTTGGGGCCGGGGGCCAGCGCCCCCTCGTAGACCGCCCCGTCCTCCATCACCACCAGGCCCGGGCCCTGTCAAGGTAATGGTAGTTACCGTCATTACCAACTAGTGATGGTAGTTACCATCATTACCATTTAGTGATGGTAGTTACCATCATTACCAACTAGTGATGGTAGTTACCATCATTACCAACTAGTGATGGTAGTTACCATCATTACCAACACTAACTAGTGATGGTGACTACCATCATTACCAACACTAACTAGTGATGGTAGTTACCATATTACCAACACTAACTAGTGATGGTAGTTACCATATTACCAACACTAACTAGTGATGGTAGTTACCGTCATTACCAACACTAACTAGTGATGGTAGTTACCGTCATTACCAACACTAACTAGTGCTGGTAGTTACCATCTGAGAAATGGTAAACAATGTATCAATATTATATTATTATTGGGGTTCATCGCTACGGGGTTCAGGAGGGCTTAAAGGCCATGGGGGTTCAGTAGGGGTTAAAGGCTGCAGGGGTTCATCACTCACGCAGGGTTTGCCCCCCACGAAGGAGGTCTCGCAGACGCCCCCCGCGGCGGTGGTGACGAGCGCCGCCCCCTGCCGCTCCCCCTGCTGGTACTGACCCTGGTACTTGAACCCTGCGCACCAGGACCACGTCAGTACCACGTCAGGACCAAACATAACTTTCACGATAGGTAGATATATCTTAATTATCAGTAATGATAACCATAATCACCTGACACGATGCAGTCCTCAATCCCGTAGCCGTGTTTCAGCCCCCCCACCCACTCCCCCGTGTAGATGGACGCCTCCTCCCCCCCTAGGGGGTCACCGCCCCCCTTTTTTGTTGCGTTGCCGTCGCTCTTTTTCTCGGCACCATTTTGTTCCGGCCGACGCCATCTTGTATTGCTGTCCGCCATTTTGTTTTCGGTGACGTCATCCTTGTGGTGGGTGTTAGGGTACCGCCCCTTCTGAAGTACCCCGAACTTTTCGTACAAATTGTTCTGCAAGTACCCCGCGTACGTGGTCCCGTTGTGGTGCCTTATCTCCCCCCACCCACACATTTTCCCCGCCTCCCATTCCCCCCCACAGTACGCGGCACCCACAAGTCCCCCATCCAAGATGCCGGGGAGGCCGCAGGTCACCCGAAGTACCCCTTGGCCCCAGAACTGGCCCCCCTTCAACTCCCCCTCGTAGGTGGATCCATCGGGCCACGCGAGGGCCCCTTGTCCGTGAGGCTTGCCTGACACCCACTCCCCCGTGTATGTCGCCCCGCGGTACTGCGGGTGACGGGTGAAAGTGTAGCATGCATGACGCGTGGCGGGGGGTACGCGGGTGTCCTTCCACCATCCGTAGGAGCTACACTCCCAGAAAAGGGAGCTATATGGGTTAGGGTGACAGATCTGCTGCCATGTGAGCAACACGCCCCCGGGGCGCCTCCTGCAGGCGGTGGAAGGGCAGCAGTCCTCCGTGGCGACGCAGCAGGCGACCGCAGACGAGAGGCGGGTGCCCCACAGGCGGCGGTCGTCTATGCTGCTACAGGAGAGCTGCAGGCGATCCTCTGGCAGCTGCAGGGACAGGGTCGTCTGCGGGCCATCAATGATATTAATGATTGCCTGCTCTTAATGATACTTAAAAATTGCATGCCATTAATGCTACTTAATGATCGCCCTTCCTCAATGTACTTAATTGTTTTACATTTAACAGGCATACCACCATATTGTGTCTTATTTCCCTGGCATTATATATTCTTTGAATTGCATCACAATAATTATTTACTCTGCTATTACTCTGACCAAAAAATGCCTCACAAGAGTACCTACCCGGATTTTCAGAGCACCTAACCTGGTTACCCAGCTCTGGGATATCCAGCAAGAGTGCCCCTTCTCCAGAGCGGCAGAGCACCCACCTGGTTGCCCAGCTCTGGGGGATACCGCAGAGTACCTCCTCCCCAGAGTGTCAGAGCACCCACCTGGTTGCCCAGCTCTGGGGGATCCAGCCAGAGCAGCCCCAGAGGGAAGGAGCTGACGGCGCTGTGGCTGACTTGCAGGAGCGCATCTGACGTCAACGCTACAAACCCTGACGACGACAGCGACAAGGCTGACAAAAAACCCGTGTTTGCCGCTGACGTTAGGCGAACAGCTGACGTCTGACGCGAGTCCAGGATGAGACGACACGTTGATTTGAGGGGAGCGTTTGAGGGCAATGACTTAATGAACTTGAGAGTCTCGTTGGCCTCTGAGAGGCCCTCGGTGACCAGAAGCTGTAGGTTCCGCCATCTTGCACGTGCAGTTTGGACCAGAGTCACGACAGGGCTAGGATGGTCCCCCCTCAAAATTTCCCACAATAGCAAGTCGTAATCACTTATCCTCTCGAGCGGCTGATGCACCAGCCACTCAAAAACTGCATTCGCCTCTTCATCCGACACATCTGATCCTCTTTTATCCACCAACGATGCAAAAGATGAACCCCGGAACTTGGAGGAGTTTCTCCTCGTCGCAGTTGTTTCCTCAGTTTTCTTTGATCGCCCGTTTTCTTTTTTCGTCGTTTTCTTCACGCGATCGTTTTCTTTAGGCGTCGAGGGAGTACCACAATAATTTTCATTGTTCGAATAATCCTGGTTTTGGTATGACTTTGGTAGTATGTTGGGGGGTATGAGATGCACCATCGCGGGTATGGCATGCTTTATGATGCTCAATGCATCATCTTCATAAAGTGTCAGGAGCCCAGACGAAGTAGCATCACACACGTCATCACAGTACTGGGCCAAAATTTGGCACAGTACATCACACTGCAGAAAATAATGCCTGTTTAATCGAGTTATTGCGCCTACAAATACTATAAGCAATAGTTCACATTAAGCGACCAATCAATATGATCTATTTCACACATATTTTATCGATAAAATAGGCTAAACAATTACAATTTGGATTCTACGTGTGAATTCCACTAAAGTAGGCATAATTTTGAGTGTGAAGAACCCTCAATACTTCATAATAGAGCACCTGGGAGATGAGGGGGAGATGTATGACGTCACACACGGGCGAGACCTGCGCCTGATTAACAGCCTCAGCACCACCCACCAACACCTGCAGACAGCGTCGTATCATTTCTGATCCAAAATAACAGGGATGAGAATTTTTAAAAATTCGCTCTCTATTGTTTCTGAAGGAGGAATTGAATTTATTAATAATCACTCACACAGAATTATTTTTCATTAACGAACAGGTATTGTACCCCATCTGCAAAGCTAGTTCAATGATGATGTAGATGAATGATTGGAAGGTTCGAAACCCACATCTTGTGGAAATTTTCGTTGAAATTCGCAAGATGGCCGGTTGGTTGAGAATCAGCAGGCATTTTATTTCCTATTATTGAACATCAACAGCCATCAGAATAATTATACCTTTAGTTTTGATGCTTTATCAATGGTCATAACAAATATCTACATTAGTAAAATAATGATAAATTGCAACCCTGGCACCCCACAACCCGTACACCCCACAACCCGTACACCCCACAACCCTGTCACCCCGCAACCCCACTACCTGCACCACATCCTGTAGGGTCCTCAGGAGGCGCCACAGGAGGAAGGCTTCTCTCTTGTCCTCCCCATGGAGGCGGCAGTGGGAGGTCCTGTAGCCCCGCTTGGGTCTCCTCCTACCCACGCTGGGGGAGCCATGAGGGGACACTAACCCCTCGAATTGCGTTGGGGATTCTACCCCACCGAATGTTTTGGGGCTAGCGTTACCCCGGTTGTTGTGAGATGTTTTTTGTGAAAACTTATTTCTATCCACACGTTTTCTGTACAAATTAGGGCAAATATCACAGTAAGTGGAGATCTGGTGTGTTTCACAGGAAGACAAGTCGCTGCGGTTGCCATGGTTACTACTGGTCGTCATATTGTTTATAACTAAACTATTTTCAACTTCCATGTTCTCCCTGACGGAAATATTTTCGTTTAAAAGTAGGTTAAAGTTGCTAGTAGTTGCCAAAGAGTTATCAAGAGCCGTTTTTGAGCTGCCAGATATAGACACATTTTTAAAAGATACTTCTAAGTTGCCAGACGTCACTACCGAGCTGCCAGACGTCACTACGGAGTTGCCAGATGTCACTACGGAGTTGCCAGACGCCACAACGGAGCTGCCAGACGTCACTACTGAGTTGCCAGACGTCACTACTGAGTTGCCAGACGTCACTACGGAGCTGCCAGACGTCACTACGGAGTTGCCAGACGTCACTACGGAGCTGCCAGACGTCACTACGGAGTTGCCAGACGTCACTACGGAGCTGCCAGACGTCACTACTGAGTTGCCAGACGTCACTACGGAGCTGCCAGACGTCACAAAGGAGTTGCCAGATGTTGCCATGAGATCATTAGTATTGGTCCCCACGTATACGTGCTCGTCGTGCAGCTGAGGAGGCCACAAGGAAGCCTCCAGCAGCAGCTGCAGAGGCTGCAGGAGCAGCTGCTGTGCAGGCAGCAGCAGCTGTAGCAGCTGCAGCTCCCCCATCAGGAACTTCACCATCTGTAGCGTCACGGAACAGTCAGCTTGAACAGTTATTTATGTATTAATTCATTTATGAACAATAAATTTGAATTTGATTTCCATCTATTGAATTGTAATGGAGCAATATATGTACAGTCCTGTCTTGTTCAAAGCATATCTGGTTATAAGAACCGGCGTGTCGGATTGTAAGAACCGGCGTGTCCGGCTATAAGAAACAGCGTATCCAGTTACAAGAACCAGTGTGTCTGGTAATAAGAACCAGCGTGTCCGGTAATAAGAACCAGCGTGTCCGGTAATAAGAACCAGCGTGTCCGGTAATAAGAAGCAGCGTGTCCGGTAATAAGAACCGGCGTGTCCAATTCTAAGAACCAGCGTGACCGGTTATAAGAAACAGCGTATCAGGCTATAAGAACCGGCGTGTCCGGTTATAAGAACCAGCGTGACCGGTTATAAGAACCAGCGTGACCGGTTATAAGAAACAGCGTATCAGGCTATAAGAACCGGCGTGTCCGGTTATAAGAACCAGCGTGTCCGGTTATAAGAACCAGCGTGACCGGTTATAAGAAACAGCGTATCAGGCTATAAGAACCGGCGTATCCGGTTATAAGAACCAGCGTGACCGGTTATAAGAACCAGCGTGACCGGTTATAAGAACCAGCGTGTCCGGTAATAAGAACATACCTCTTTGGAGGGAGGGGCCCCGTGGGTGACGACGCTGTCTCCCCCACAGAGGATGTGGGAGCAGCGCTCCCCCACGCCCACAGGCACCCGCCAGAACTCTCCCGTGAGGAGCGGTTTGTTTATCCCTGATTTTGGGGATGAATTACCAACCCCAGCCTCTCTGTGGAGGTATGAAGCATGACAAAATGAACAAGCCAAAAATTTTTCTAATAAAAACTAAAGACATAATGATGAAAATTGGTCTCTAATAACGTCGCTCTCTTTCAGAAGAGGTACCTATATTTTAATTATATTTACAAGCACGAACTTCATTAAAATTACCATAGCAAAGAGGCAAGTTATTTATCTGTAAGGCCTAAAGGAAAATAGGGTCATCATGTAATACACAAGAAATACACTAGTAATGTACGAGTAATTCTGTAAGTAATACGCGAGTAATACACGAAAAATACTGAAGTAATATTTTGTTTACACCCTGGTGATTCTTAGTATTTCTAAAGTAAGACTGAAGTGATAGTTACATGTCAATTTATACTCCAGTAATATTCAATTATTATTCATTTCACTCCAGATGCAATACTCACGTGGCTCGGGTCACCAGCTGGGCCAGGAACACGTCCCCCTCCAGGGACGAGGCAACGATGACCTGGTCCCCCGCGGCCCCCACGTCCCGGGCCCGCCTTGCGCCCCCCACATGTCCCCCGCACCCCTCCAGCACCCGCTCCGTGATGAAGCCCTTGGGCACAGGACGGCTGTGGCCGCCCTTAGAGACCTGCCCTTGATCGTTGCCCTCAGCCTCCTTGGTCAAGGCGTGGCCCTCAGCCTCCTTGGTCAAGGCGTGGCCCTCAGCCTCCTTGGTCAAGGCGTGGCCCTCAGCCTCCTTGGTCAAGGCGTGGCCCTCAGCCTCCTTGGTCAAGGCGTGGCCCTCAGCCTCCTTGGTCAAGGCGTGGCCCTCGCCTGACGAAAGTGCCTTTATTTCGTCCTTGTTGCCGCGGTTTTCATCCCGTTTGTCCTCAAGCGGGACATTCTCTCCTTGTTGGTCCGTGGACTTGGAGCTCGAGTCCCCAGCTCCCAGCTGGGGACTTGACCTGTCTTTCGTAACCAGGGTCTCGGGACTCGAGTGGACTAGATTGCTTACAGAAGAACCTGGAGGACTTGAAGAGGATAAAGTGGAGGAGGATAATGTGGAAGAGGACAAAGCAGAAGAGGACAAAGCAGAAGAGGACAAAGTGGACGAGGATAAAGTGGAAGAGGACAAAGTGGAAGAGGACAAAGTGGAAGAGGATAAAGTGGAAGAGGACAAAGTGGAAGAGCATAAAGCGGAAGAGGATAAAGTGGAAGAGGACAAAGCAGAAGAGGATAAAGTGGACGAGGATAAAGTGGACGAGGATAAAGTGGAAGAGGACAAAGTGGAAGAGCATAAAGCGGAAGAGAATAACGTGGAAGAGGACAAAGAAGAAGAGGATAAAACGGACGAGGATAAAGCTGAAGAGGATAAAGTGGAAGGGGATAAAGTGGAAGAGGATAAAGCGGAAGGGGATAAAGTGGAAGAGGATAAAGCTGAAGAGGCTAAAGCTGAAGAGGATAAAGTGGAAGAGGATAAAGTGGAAGAGGATAAAGTGGAACAAGATAAACTGGAAGAGGATAAAGTAGAAAAGTCCTTATTTGTCTTAGTCTCCATCAAACGATCCTTATGGCTTGAGGTGATTGCTACCGGGACGTTGAAGTTTCCAGGGGGATTTTCGGCCACGTTTTCATCGGCCACGGACGAGGGGGAGTCGAAAAGATCCCCCTCGTCAGACCCCAGAGAGGGAAGGGGGAGGACATGGGGTTCCGGCTCGTAGAGGACCTTTATCTCCTCGTCCCCAGGGGTCATTGGGTGCGTGGGGATGGGGAGCCCCACAGGCGGGGATTTGGGGGAGAACTTGAGAAGGGAGGAGAGGGTAGGTGGGGTAGCTGATGGGGTGAAGAAGGTGTCGCCCCACACCAAGATCTGCAGGAATAATAATAATAATTAATAATAATAATAATTAATAATAATAAATAATAATGATAATTATTTCGTTACGGATAGTCGATGTGACCACGCGCACGGCCACGCTCTTGTCTTAGCAAATGCCAGTTACTGCATCACAATTTGAGGTTAGGTAATGGAGCCATTACCTCTCTGGCTTATTACCTGTGCCCCCATCACCTGTACCCTCATCACCTGTACCCCCATCACCCCCATCACCTGTACCCCCATCACCTGTGCCCTCATCACCTGTCCGTCGATGGTGAGGCCAGCGACGAAGGAGGCCCCACAGGCGAGCTTGGTGATGGCACGGCCGCTGAGGCCCTGGACCCGACAGAGGGGGTTTGCTTCAGTGGACCCGCTGGACTGGCCCCACACCAAAACCTGTTGCATGCGGGACATTTAATTGCCTGTGGGTGGAATATATAACATCACATACGAAAATTATGGAAATGTTAACGCAGTCACACCTCGTTCATCTACCAGTTGTACCACTATCGTGGAGCCATAGTAAATGGATTGAATCACTTGTACAGAGACAGGAATGAGCGAAACATTTAGCACTAATAGGTACCTATAATCCAGCGGCTGCATATCGGCTTATATAAATGAGAGAAACCTTTAGTATTAATATTCCTGCGGCGTTCGACTTTAATTTTCATACCTTTAAGGACAAATTGAGCATTCCTTGATGTGCCAAGTCGTTTTTAAGATTCTTTGAAAGAATAACGCCTATGACAGCTGAGCAAAAATGTATAGTTACATTTGGTATCAATACTTCCAAATACCTCCAATTAATTTACTTATGTATAAAATGAACAATAACTACAAAATGATGGAATAGATACAGAGAGAAATAGGTTGTCAGCATCACCTCGGAGGACATTATCCTGGCGCTGCGCTCCACCATGGCTCTCAGCCTGACGTCATCATCCTCCTTGCGGTTCCCCCCAACATGGACGTTCTTGAGGGAAGACCAGGCGGGGCAGAATAACCCATCCTTCCCCTTAACCCCGCTTTTTGGGGAAGCAGTCTTGAATTTTGTGTTTATTCGATCATGGCGGCTGTTCGCGAGGTTGCCAAGTCGTATATTGTTGATGGACGTGCGGCCAAGAGAGTCGAAGAAGCTGGTCGATGTGTCGATGCACGAGAGGACATCTCTTTGCTGGCACCCTGCCAGACCGCCACAGCCAGCCAAGTTATTGCCCGCGCAAGCCATGGAATTCTGGCAATATTGACAGTGATTAGCAATGCAATGGGCGGAGTTGCCGCGCTTTTCGCGACTGAGGGGAAAGGCGCCACTGCCCTCTGACGACCCTTGTGGGGAGTCGAGACTGGCGGTGGCAGAGGCGGAGCGGACATGACTTATCCTTTTGCTTGCATTTTTTGGCTCCAGAGTAGGAGAGGACGGAGGGGCGGACCAAGGAGGGGCAAACTCAGAGGAAGGAGGGGCAGGAGTGTCATCAACGGGTATTGGGCTCTCTGTTTCTGATGCTTCTTCTCTAATTTCTTCACTGTTTTTTGGACCCAAGTAACAAAACTCAGTCACCGAGTCGGACGATCCATCCGACAATGTGGATGAACACGTGGCTTCCGAGTCGCGTCTTTGTAATATTTTTCCGGAATTTAAATTACCATCCGCAGTTCTTTCTTGATCGCCTTCAGGGCGGGAGAACTGCTTGGTCAGAGTGCCTACCCTGTCCGTGACGCCCCGTACACCCGTGGCCATAAGGCTGGCGGCGGAGCTGGCAGCAGCGGTCGCACTCGTGGCCGCGTGGGCGACGTTTTTGCTTATTAAATCCGACGCCAAATCCAGTGAATACCTGACACTATTTTTCAAATCCTCAGATTTTACCTCAACGAGGGCCGGGAAAAAACCAAGGCCGGCATCCGCCTGAAAGTTGCCTGCGTCAGGTTTCAGTGCCGCGCTGGTCGTCGTCGCGGGCGGATGTGCGTGCGACGCGCCCGCAGCGTCAGTCTCGCACACGGCATGGGGCTTCTGGCTCGAGCCTTGTGCGTCCAGCATTGGTGCTGTCATCCTACTGAGCTGCCTAGAAATGAATTGCCTTGCTATGTCAGCGTTGGTTATTGTATCACAGCTTGGAGCTTCATCTTTAACCGTCGTATTTTCTAACTCGTCCGCCATGACCGAATCAACCACACGAAAGTCGCGGTCCGGCGAGCCTTTTGGTTCACTGCCACTCGATCCCTCCCCATTGTTGGAGGAGTTATCACCTGCAGCGCTGCTGCAGTAGGCACTCTTCCCCAACAAAGATGGAGTTCCCATGCATGGGGAACCTCCTTTACAGTTTGCCTCCGTTACACAAGATGCATCGCCATTAATATTTACTTCGTGTGGGTCAACATGACACACCTTATCGCTGCCATCCTCACTATAGCTGTCGTCTGAGTCACTATCTTCGTCTCGCACCAGAGCAGCAGAGAAATGAGGTCCTGCTGCTATCTGCAGGATCTTTCTCCCTGCAGGGATCCTCACTCTGGATGGGTGTATTCTGAAAGTCCTACTCCTAAACAAACAAGACTCGTGTTTATTGTGTGCATTGCCGCTACTACCACACACACGGTAGCCGTGAGTATCACGTGAGCTGCGATTCTTGGAAATCTGAGATTCACTGTTATTGATAACAGTGCCAGTGTCACCATGACTGCCACCCGTGTCAGTGCCACAAGATGAGCAACGGCCCCTGGCATAGGACAGTCGCAGCACAGGCATAATTTGTTCAGCTGATGCTTGCCACACTTCGTTGTTATTGGACAGGAACAAAACGTGGTCGGCGCCAGCTGCCACCGCTGCCACGGTGATGGCAGGGCGCCGCAGTGGCAGGTCATGGCTACATAACTCAGTTGGTGCACCCAGGGACAGCCTAATGATCGCCGGGTCAGCCAGATGGTCCTCGTTATCATCGTCAGATGACCGGGGAGCTGTGAGATCAGGGTTCTTAGAGGTCCCTGTCTCTCCTTCAGCGCTAACGCCACGACCCACGTCTGAGACACCACCACCCGCGCTATCCTTCGTGGCGGGCGGCGCGTCCTGCAAGTGACGACAGAAAGCCTGGCCGTCGGAGGTCAGGAATATGAGGAGACCCTTGACCACCGCCACGTCCTTCACGAAGCCCTTGACGAATATCTGCAGGTGAAACATCCATGGATATTGCAAACCCAAATGAATATAGACATAAATAAATAAAGATTTATGCATGCAACAGCGTTCTCTCTAAATACAAATCATCTAAAATCATAAATTATTGGCAGAGTATCCAAGTATACTAAAAATTTAGGAATACGATTAAATAAATAAAATGCATCAGTGATATGGGATAGTATGGGGAGCAATAGAACATAATTGAATGAAAGCTGTGGTTAGCACCCAACAGACATGAGGGCATGATTTGAATTTCAAGCCAAAATGTAATATTAATTATTACTATTCTAATGATGAATATAACAAACTTATTCAATTTACATGCCTGGCGCAGTTTGCCGCGGGTGACGCCATCATACTCCCCCACGTACAACTTCCCTGACGACGTCACATGAGCTGTTGCCCCATAGACCCTCTCCTCTTCAACACCCTCACGTTCCCCCAGTGCCCTCATTTCATTAACATCACTAGCAAGACACTCTTCAGAACAAGATGCTGTGCAGCAACTTTCATGTATGGAAGCTTCGGTGACTTCAGTAGCAGTGGAGTTTGACACACGTTTGACTGTGATGCAGGATGGTGACCCCTCCACAGGGGCTAATCTCTTTGTACAATCTGCTTGACAGACTGGTGGATTCACAGGGTTCTCTGGATGATCCTGAGTGAGGTTAAGGGCAGCAAGCGGACGCATCTGTCCTGCCACCTTGATGACAGGGTCCGTGGGCATAATCAGCATCTCTGATGTCCTGCAACCTGTAACAACAAATTAAATTATTGTATCATGATATTGCCTTTGCAATCGTTATAATAATCACCCAACAGTCCTGTATTGTTGCCCACAAATTGTGGACAACAATGAATTCTTAACTTGGCAACCAAAATTCAAATGAATTTGTATTTAAGTATTATAATTTTTCAAAACTTTTTCAACAGTTCTTCTCAAGAATTTTAGTTCAATCAGGAGAAATGCAAGCAATAAGGATTGGCTTTTCCCAGGAACAGCAAAAATTCTGACAAGAAGCAAAGAAGCGTCAGCAAGCAAGCATTATGTATTTTTACTTCCAGAATAATTTCTATGAATTTCTAATTTTATAACTTAGTGCAATAAAGAACTACTTACAGAATATGTACATTAGAAAGGAAATTATATAACTTCATTGAATAGAAAACATATTTCAAGAATAAATTATAAAAAAATCACTAACATTATTAAATAAAAAAACAAACAAATTGAAAAAATGTAAAGTAACATAAGAAGCAAACTGATAGGTACCTTAGTCTCTAGAAACAATTACACCAAAAATGCATTAGGTACCTACCGTACTAGTTTCATAAATGAAAAAATTGCAGACACCAATTTAAAAAAAGGCAACAATTTAGAGCATTTAGAAAGGAAGGAAACAAAGGGAACTGAGGAACTAACTGACCTGCAGAACTCAAAGTAAGGAACATGTGGGACAAGGGCACTGTGCTCCCACAGGAGGAAGTGGCTTGACCATACAAGGGTGAAGCAGTGTGGCCATGCCCTAACATCATAAGATAAATCACAGACGAGACTCTCACAGCAAAGATCTACGAGTCTATGGTGTGCACCTCACCAGTTGCCACTCAAACTGTGATGAGGACCACACTCTTAATGTGATTAGGACCACACTCTTAATGTGGTGAGCTATAACATCTGCAGGGAACAAGGAGCTTTTACTAGCAGAGATCAATGAAATGGTTTAGAAATATCGTAACACATATGTATAGATCAGAGATGGATCAAAATACTGCAAGTAAATGTGAAATGAAGGTAATAAGTAAGTACATTGCATACCACGATGTATATGGTACCTCAGTTCTCATACTACCGCATACCTCAGTTTTTCAACTACCATACAGGGTGCATACCGGTCATGGAAAACCTGGAAACAATGATGTAATGGGTATACAACAATGTGATGGGTAATGGGTATACCCATCACATTGTCATATACCCATCACATTGCCATATACCCATCACATTGTTTCCAGGTTTTCCATGACCGTTACGCACCCTGACCATAATATAATGGATACCAACTCAGTCATTAAGATTTGCGCATATTTTAGTGAGTGGAATCTTGGGGCTCATTAGTGAATGAACTATGATTATCCCACTTGTTTTTCCTTGCCTTTTTTGTTAAACTTTACCTTTTTTAATATTTTGATGAAGATATCAGCATACAGAAAAAAAATTTCTACTATGAATCTTAGCAGCAGGCATATGTTGTGCAATGGGAACTGTATGATATCTTGGAATTTGCAGGGAATTTAGCAGCTGAGATTTTAGCCGCAAATTTCCTTGGTTCTCTCAAAATAGTCTTATTTTACAGAATAATAATCATAATAATATTGAGAATTCTGCTGAACTCTTCTTGGCATCATGGTTTGGTTGATCATAGATAGTAGACTATACATCCATAGCTTTTAAAGTAGGTACAGATTTGAAGTATAGATAATGACATCTATTTATGCTCTTGCCCTCTTATAGTCTTATGCTGGTAACCATTTTTCTATCCATTGCTGATTGCAGCTTTCAATGTTGGCTGCATGCTGATTGCTGCCTACTCAGTGCCAATTGATCAGAGTGATAATTGAGATTATCCTGCACAGTTTCACAAGCTGCAAATGGTTTCAAGAAGCTGATTCTGCATGACAAAATTCTCCAAACACCTGCATCCTCTAGATCAGTATGAAATTCTTGGATTGTGCATTAAGTTTCTTTCATTTTAGAGTAGATTCATGACCATCTCCCAACTTTGATTGGTTGTGATGTAATCCACTGACTCCATCCAGACTGTGATTGCTTGTGTGGTGGCCTTTCCAGTGTACTGATTATTGGTTAATTTAATACCCTATAGAATTCCACACTGTTCAGTAGTATGGCCATTGGCCAAAAATGGCAAGAAAGCCCTAGTTGTCATGTTGTGGCTTAAAAGTTACATTTATTCCATGCCTAGTTACTATATGCATATATGTTTAGTTATTATATGCCTAGTTACTATATATATTATATGTTACTACAACATTTCTATGAAATGTCAGAGATTGTCCCTTATTACCCCACCTGTCCCTTATTAACCCATTTGATGGTACTGAACTGCAGAAATTACATATTTCGCAAAATGACACATTTTCAAACCGCAATTTCTACAATAAACAAAAACATTACATTAGAGCCATAAGATTTTACACCTATTGGAATGTGTCATTTTAGGAGGGAATGATATTCAAGGGCATTCCAAGATTGTCAAATATTGAGGAAATGACACTGATTTGTGCGCTGGAGCCCTTTAGTGCACTGTGCATCTTGCTCCTTTTCCTGGGCATGCGCTCCTATTTTGTGCAGCACATTCCTAAATTACATAGGTACATGGTCATTTAAAAGGCATTTAGAATGTCTCCATACTTACAAATGCTATACTTTTTCTGAAATATCACGGGTATCATCAATGCCACAATATTTCAGAAAAAAAAGTAGGACTTTTCCTTAATAGAAGTCATATAAGTATAAAATTTTGAGCCATAAAGAAATTTTCAAATCAGAGGTAAATCAATTATGACCAGTGAACTCATTTGGTAAATTAAATTGTCAAGTTATAATTTATTAATTATACTTTTTGAATCATTTTAATTCATCATAAAAAACTATAACTTGGTACTCACTGCAGTGAGTGACAGAGAGCACATTTTCTTGTGGAGTCATGGATGCACAGACAGACGGACAGATGGTCAGACAGACGGACGGACATGGCAAGCACAATAGTGCATTTTTTACATAAATGAGAAAATGCACTATATGCAGCATTAAAAATATTATAGAATATATTTTTTACAACTCAGAGAAGATTTACATATAACATACTTTTTGCTGTTTTTTTGAAGATGCAGTATGGTACAATTTTATTGTTCTATGACATAAGGTGACACAAATCACACAACTGAAACAAGCCAACTATCACAGGCAACTGAACTAGGCATAGTGGTTAGCTAGTCTCCTCCTACCAGGTAACCAGGCTACCACGTACCAGCTACCAGTGCTAGCCTGGTAGGAGAATAGGAGTCTAGGACTAGGAGTCAAGGACTAGGAGTCTAGGACTAGGAGTCTAGGACTAGGAGTCTAGGACTAGGAGTCTAGGACTAGGAGTCTAGGACTAGGAGTCTAGGACTAGGAGTCTAGAACTAGGAGTAGGACTGTAAGAGGAAAATGTCAACAGAATGGCTGTCTGATCACACTGTCTGAGTCTGACATCAGTGACATGAGACTGAGCTGAGTCATGATGATTGGGATTGATTGCAATTTGAAACTAGGAGTGGTCTGAGTGGAGACTTCAGAGCTCAGACACAGAGTCAAACTATTAAAGAATGTCAACACTCAACAGCAATGTTTTAGGGCTTGGGTATAATAAAATTAGCTTATTAGGCAAGAATATGCTACTGTGCCACTGCCGCCCACCAGGCATGGAATATATCTACTTGGCGAGCCACAACTGAATTTTTTGAGCTGTGGTTTTATGGATTTGCCAGCCATGATTCCATTTCTTTGAGCCGTGATTCCATTTCACCGAGCCATGAATTCCATATCTCGGCCATGAAAAGCCATTTACGAGGCGCAAATTTATTTACAAAGTCCATGCACGTGTTACCCCAAATCTCTAATTTTACCCTAAAACAGTCAAATGGCAATGATAAAATTTGTCTTTACTTTAAGTTTGACTGCTTTGACATGACCGCAACTATGCGCCCAGGGCGCAGAGGGTGGATGCAGCGTCGCCAATATATGGGTTTTTAAGCCCTAAGTGTCGCCGGGTAATTTTAAGATGCATCGTCATGTAATTTTTAATGAAAAGCCATTACGCTGAGTAATGAAAAACTATTTACAAGCCACAAAATTATTTACAAGGTTGCATGCACGTGTTATCCCAAATAACTAATTTTACCCTAAAAACAGTCCGATTGTACAGCAAGTGTTAACTGAACATGTGATAATGCAGTCTGACCGCTCTAATGTGACTGGCAAGTCCGCAACTACGTAATCGTAAACTTGATGTTTACATTTTTGACGGGAACTCATCGCAACTGATTTTTGGACAAGCTTCACTGCATCCTGATACATCCAACATATCGGAAACCTTATTTTTTTAAATAGTTGGCTGAAGACTGACAAATATATTAAATGCAAGAATTTCAATCTAAATGTGTCGGCAAGATCTTCTGAAGGCGTAAATTTTGCTAATGAAGCGTCACCAAAGATCTTGCAATATTCATCCACTCTCTGCACTGACTGCACAGTGGCAGTATGCGCAATCTTCAACAAAACGTTTAGTTGATTTGTTTACATTACGATGTTTATGTTTTTTTCTGCAGGATATTTTGCCGGTAACAGTAAAGCAATGCGGATTGAGGAAGTTAAAAATTTTATGAAGTGACATTTTTGCAAAGTGCAAACCACGATTTTTCAATCAAACAAAAATTTATGACATTCGAGCTGCGAGATTTCATACCTACTGAAATTATATGATATTAGAGCCGTGATATTTCAGACAAAAATAGGACTTTTCCGGCCCTGCTGCCCACAAGTATATGATTCGTCTCAGAAAATATAAAAAAAATATCTGAGATTTTGAGGGAGGTCACACTCATTCAAACAAATCATCAAGTGATGAAGACCAACTACCTGCAAGTTGCAACTACAGTCTACTCAAGTAACTCAACAGTCTCAACTAGTAGTACCTAGTCTAATAGTAATAGGAGTCAAAGAATGTCAACAGAAAAGTCAGAAATGTTTTGGGCATAGGGTAAACGCGGTATATTCCGTCACATTAAGGACGCATCGAGAAATGAAAAACTATAAAAAAAATAACCGTATGCAACTCAAGTTCTGTTTGCTTTAGGTGACTCTCAAAACACCGTAGTACGCGTCGGCAACGATGAAACGTCACAAAATGTTGCCATATTTATGTAAAAGCCTTTAGAATGCAAACCTACCAAATCCCTATATTCCGTCACTGTGTGTGGCATTGGCAATATTTGGCACTTGGTGAGGTGTATTCCGTCCGCGCTTCAAATTCTACTGATGTGTAATGCCGTCATCCACGTGTTCGAATTCCGTTCGCTGTATGAGCTGTATTGGAATACAACACGGCTTTGAATTAGAACACTAATGAATATTGAACACTACTTAATTACGCCTTTAATTAACAACTATTATGCTTTTAATTAAGCAAATTTTAATTTTTGTACATAGCTTGGAACAATCTGCGTGTGTCCAATTCAAGTTGTGACGGAATTAGTTTTCATGTGTCTAAATCCATTTCTCAACTTAATCATCTATTAATTTATTTACCACTTGAAATCAGCGAATACAAGTATACTTAAAAGATTCCTAATATATTCACAGATGTATTTAAAAGTCTCAAACCATAATATTCTTCCTATACAAACAGTTATTCACTATTTGGTAGAGCAAGGTCAACTGTCAAATTTGACACATTTTTCGATGATCTCACTGGGTAGCGTGCATTGTCTCTCTTTGGATCTCAATATTCTCCCGCTAGATGGCCAAGACCTAGTGTTTTGGCATTAGTTCGACGCGCAAGTGTATGACGACAATGACGCCGCCATTTTAACCATCAACGAATGCATGGAACTAAAACAAAGGTGGTGGTTGTGGGTTGTAGGTGAAGAAGAAGTCGCACGTTGACCGCTTGTAACACCTGGACTCAGCAATAGTTATTTAGTTGAAGTCTTCATCATGTTTCTCTCAATTTCATTTCCTTCTTTGCTGGCATGAGCTCTCTTTGTTATCAACAATTCTCTTGTTTAGGGCAAATCACAGTTTAATCCAGTGCATTACACACACTACATGGTAGATAATCGTCCACTTTGCATGAGATATGTGGTGGTTGCTCTCACTATGTGGTG